CATTTAATAGTATTAGATATTCAATAAGAATCGCGTCTAAGGCTCCCATGAGATGAAAATTATTGCTCTACAGCCCAATATAATCTAATAATGCTTTGCACGTCCAAAGACCTCATTTGCAATTAATTTTCAAACTAAAATGACTGAACTATCCTTAATAACTGAGAAGGAAATACCACACTAGAAATTTACGGACCTTCTATCGTTAATTGTTTCGGGTAACTTTTAAATTTTCTCCTCTTGAATTTTTTTAGTACAAATATAAACCACAAATAGACTCTTGTAAATAAACGGACATTTCATTGTAAGTACCTTCTATTAAATTAATAATTTTTTTGGTCATCTTGTGAATTTTCTCTTGTATTCTTTAAGTATAAGTGTAAATCACAAATGGTTCTAGCAAATAAACGAACATTTCATTGTGAGTAATTAGATTTTGCTTGTTGTTTATGGACCTTTTGTTGCTAATTTGTTTTGGTTAACATATAATTTTTTTTTTGTATTCTTTATGTACAAGTATAAACCCCAAATAGATTATTGTAAATAAGTATTGCATTTGTTACCGACCTTCTGTTGTTAATTTGTTTTGATATTTTGGTATGGTATTCCCTCTCAGTCTGTAGTTCAAAGATTTCAACTAATAAATTAATTGCGAATGAGTCTTTCAATTCAAGCCTGCAAAGCATTATCAAATCATATTTGACCTGCAGGGCAATTTTTATTTTTCAAGAAGCCGTGACGACTCTCCCATAAAAAAAGTCATTAAATACTCTTTTGAAATTTAAAAGACACTTCCACTGTTTTAAATTATAAAATAATTTAAGATAAAATTATATATACATATCAATAAAATTCAATAATAATAGTTTACAAACTTACTTTTTTAAAATAAAAATATAAATTTTTATAAGTACCTTCACTTAAAATAATTTTAAATATCTAATCATTTCAATTCTCTCTTCATTTAAAGGATAATATTAGAAAAAAAACCTTATTTTTGTAAAATTATTTTATATCTTGGGATAACAAAATTTCTTCAACTTGTCTTATAATTTGAGATGGAAAGAGTGTGTAATATTAAAAAAGGAAAATGACAATTAAGGACCCCTAAGGCCATTAATCACAATTAGGGACTCTGAATTATTGAAATCACAATAATAAATCATGATCCTTACTTAAAATTAAAACATGCAAATAGTCTAAAATGTCTCTTAGAAGTGACTTCAGTAAATTTTTAAGTGACTATTGTATATTTTCAAGTGTCTTGGAGAGTTTCAAAAGTAAATTTTAGTTTCATATTGAGAAACAATCCATCCCCAACTATTGTTCCTTGGTTTCCCAATTGAGATTAGCAATTCTCATCCAATGGTAGTAATTTCAGTAGTGTCATTTTTTTATTTTTCAAGTAGTTTATGGATATATTAATAAGCATAAAAATTAATAAGTGATTAGGTTCATAAGTTATTTAATAAATTTTTAAGTGACTATTGTATTTATAAATGCCCTTGTAAAGTTTCAAAAGTGAATTTTAGTTTCATTCTTGAAAACAATCCATTCCCAACTATTCTTTCTTGATTTTTCAATTGAGATTAACAATATTCTCATCCCATAATAGTAATTTTAATAGTGTCATTTATTTATTTTTCAAGTGGTTTACTAATATATTAATAAGTATAAAAATTGACAAGTGATTAGGTTCATATTCAAAAGTAAATTTAATAAATTTTCAAGTGACTATTATATATTCACAAGTGCCCTTAGAAAATTTTAAAAGTAAATTTTAGTTCATACTGAAAAATAATTTATTTCTAACTATTGTTCCTCAACTTTTTAATTGAGATTAACTATATTCTCATCCCATAATAGTAATTTCAGCAGTATCATTTTTTTATTTTTCAAGTGAAAAATAATTTTGTAAACTCATATGTATTTTTAATTTCAAATAAGAATCATGATCAATTATTGAGATTTTAATAATTTACTATCCCTAATAATAATTAGGGTAAAGGGGCTAAAACCCACAAAGTGATTAGCCACAGGAACCTAATATCCTAAAATGAAGAAAAATATAAAAATACTCATAACATTACATGGATGGGTGTAAAAGTGACCAAACCTTTAACTTTGACTTAATGACGTTAACTTTGATTGTTAAATACTAACTGTGCATGTTACGTGTCTGTATTTGCTGACATAGACTAATAAAGAGGCAAAAATATCTATGAAGTCATAGGCCTGGAGCAAAAATACTTATAACGTTATCACAATTGGTCCAAAAGTGATCAATTCATCTAATCCCTTAAATGTTAACCATTTATCTGATACCTAAGCAAAAATTGACTATTTTTTTGTTAATATAGACAAAAATAATTCTCAGATGAATTTTTAAGAATATTGATCGATCATTGTATAAGTACCCATAATGTTACTTTAATAGGTGCAAGTGACAATCCGTCAAAATCAATGCCACATGATTTCTTTCCATCTCCACATATCTCGCCCTCTTCCTTTCTTCCTCCCTCTTCACTCTTTTTTCTTACCTGCAAAACCTGATATTTAACATAGTGAGATTAGTTGTACAAAATTAAATATCGAAACTGAGCACACCTAACTTAAGAACATTGTCGCAATCTCAAGCAATTGCATTCATAATAAGTTCAAAATTTTCAAATAGTTTTTTCCAATGTTGTAAAAAAACAAGCGATTTAATTTGATATCAATCAAAATGACATTTTCTTACATGATATTCATACAATAATCGATTAACCTCTAGAGAATTTTATCTAGAAATATTTTTTATCCATGTCAACAAAAAAATAATCAACTTTTGCTTAGGTGTCAGCTAAACGGTCAACATTTAAGAGATTGGATGGATTGATATTTTTGCACCAACTCTGATAACATTATGGGTATTTTTGCTCCTGGCCTATGACTTCATGTGTATTTTTGCCCTTGGCTGATGACTTTGTGGGTATTTTTGTCTCTTTATTAGTCCACGTTAGCAAAGACTGAACGTGGCATGCACAATCAGTATTTAACAATTAAAGTTAATAATTTTAGGTCAAAATTACTGGTTTGGTCACTTTTACACCCATCCATATAACGTTATGGGTATTTTTAACTTTTTTCTCACTTTACGATACACTTTATAAGTATTCTTACCCCTTTAACTTAATAATTAATGGCTTTAGAGGGTTTTTAAATGTCATTTTTTCAAAAAAAAATTCCAAAAAAGGTAATTACAATGAATAAGACGGAGCAGACAGAAACAGGTCGATAGGCCAGTCTTGTCGCCATCAAATTTAATACTTTTTTCTCCACTATTCAAAACAAAAAAAAGATTATTTCTTTCAAATAAAATTATAAACTTCCAAAGTTTATATTACTCATTCATAAAGTTATATTATTATTTTAATTTTTTTACCTAAAAGATAATATTAAAAAATTATTATTAATAAAATTTTATTGTTTTTAAATTGTGTTATATTTTAAGATAAATTTTTTAAAAATTATTATATAATTTAAAATGAAAGGAGTATAATAATTATTGAAAAACCATTATATATTAGAAACAAGATTTGGGTTAAAATACTATATATAGGATTCTTATTTTTAAGGTTTTTTTTGTCCAAAAACTATATAATGGTTGTTTATATAGTTTCAAGTCCTTACCTCGTAGTTTCAATCTTGTGTTGATCATTCAATTAGATATGGGAATAAAATTTTATTCAAGACTTAACCGTCATAAATTTCAAGTTTTGAAATTTCATTTTTATTGTCCCAAATATGAAAGACACAAAAAGATTCTTGGCCCAAAATCTTTTATCAGGGCAACCCCAATTAATTTTCGAGCTAAATAATTAATTATAAGTAAACCCAACGAATTTTTAAAACTGTAGCCCATTTATTTTTTCTAGGCTCGAACTAAAGTAAATTTTACCAAAAAAATAATTAAAGCAATACTGTGATTTTTGTGCAAGCTACCTTGAGAAAGTAAAATACACGATGTAAGGGAATGGGAAGTGGCCCCTGAAAATGAAAAGAATATAATAAAGGACTCATAGATTACATATAAGGATCCAAAAAATTATATATATAAAAAAAAGAATCAAAATTTTTTTTGTAATTTTTGATATTATTTTTTCATCGACTAATAGTTAAAGTTAACTTTTATTTATGGTGGTAATCTAATTGCACTGTTCATAAAAATTGAGAAAATAATTTGTACAATGAATAAGTTTAAGGTCTATGGTGTTATTAGACTTAAAATTCATAAGGCAATTTGCTCATTTATCTTAATTAAAACATTAAATACTAATAGTTAAATAAACAGTAAATTTCATATTGTCCTTGTCAGTTAATTCATATGCATGAATTTGTATTAAAAGATTATATATATGTATAATACGAGAGTTATTCTGATGAAGTTAATGCATCAAAGTCAAATGCTACGTACTTTTGTTTGACTAAAAGACAAAGTAATTGAATGCCAAAAAAAAAACAGTGTAATTTATAAATGCCACCAATATTCAGCTAAACATTTGGTTATATAATTTAATTAATAATCACCAGCAATAATGGTTTTCAATTTCTGAATTTATGGATTCAGGGAACCGCTCCAGACTTACATTAATTGACATGTATAATACTCCCTCAGTTTCAAATTATAAAATACTTTTAAATAAAATTTTATATATCAATAAACCTCATTAAATACACTTAACAATTTTATATTTTTAAAATAAAAATATAAACTTTTAAAAATACTCATCATTTAATATATTGAAAAGAGATTGAATGAAAATTAATTATAAAAAGAGAAAGGATAATATTAAAATTGGTGTATTTAATGAAATCTTAATTTATCCAAAATATCTTATATTTTAGGTCTTATATTTAAGGACGAAAAACTTTTTTAAAAATATCTTATAATTTGGCACGGAGATAGTATAAATTAGTAGCCACAGTCTGCTGGGATTCAGAAACTAGAGTAGTAAACTATGGCATCACCATCATCAGACCTCGTTCAAATCTTTCTATCTTTTCTCCTGTTTGTCTTCCTTTCGCCTTCCTACTTTGCAGCGTCTTCAGGATCCAAGTACATTGAACAAGAAGGAGAAAAGCTTATTAGAGAGCTTAACCTTTCCCCATTAAAACATTACAGTTACTCTGTGTCCCGCGACTGTCACTCAGTCCCTGCAGGCAAGATCGTTGAGAAAAAGTTTAGATTCCCCAACCTTTATGCTCTTGGTGGGCCTTCTGTTCAAGACTTGGGTCACCATGCTGGCTATTATGGACTCCCACATTCCCATGGTGAAAAGTAATTAATAATCCTTGTAATATGTTGGTCTGATTAATTTGATTTGTTTGCTATAATAGTGATATATAAAGTCAGAAATTAATTAATTTACAGGATGTTCTACTTGTTCTTCGAATCCCGGAACAGTAAGAAGGACCCCGTTGTGATATGGTTAACTGGGGGACCAGGCTGTGGCAGTGAACTGGCTTTGTTTTACGAGAATGGCCCTTTTCATATTACAGATGACTTGTCTCTTGTATGGAATGACTATGGCTGGGACAAGGTACGTGCTTGTGTAACGTAGAGCTATTCCTTTAATTTTGCTCGTTCATCACACTATACATGTAGTTTCTGGTCTTTCTGAGTGATCAGTCAAAAAATGTTCCCTCCTCATTTTAATTTTTTAGGTATCAAATATATTATACATAGACCAACCAATCGGGACAGGTTTTAGCCATGTTTCTGATCAAAGTGACATTCGACATGATGAAGAAGGGGTTAGCAATGACTTGTATGACTTCTTACAGGTACATATTAACGACATCGATCCAAGCCAATCTGGGTGTTTGTGTTTATTAGTTGACTGGAATAGACTAAGTTTTAGGATAATCATGTCAGGCATTTTTCAAGGAGCACCCTGAATTTGTTGAGAATGACTTTTATATTACTGGAGAATCGTACGCGGGACATTATATTCCGGCTCTTGCTTCTCGGATTCATCAAGCAAACAAAGCAAAAGAAGGAATTCATATAAACCTCAAAGTCATCTCAAACTAGCTATCTATTATTAATCGATCGCGACTTCTCATAATTTCATGTTGGTGGTACATATATTAGCATTGATTAATTAATTGGTTGAACACGTACGCAGGGATTTGCTATTGGGAATGGAGAAACCAAGCCTGTAACTCAATACGGAGCTTATACGGACTTTGCATATGAGAACAATATAATTGATGGAGATACTTACAATCGTATCGGCAAGATGGTCGGCCCATGTTTGGGGTTAATAATAGATTGCAGTAACATTACTTGCCCTCATCTATTTTTGTTCTTCTTCTTTCTTTCTCAAAGCATTTTTTTTTAAATTTTTCAATCCGCTTTTTCTACACTAATTCATTTGCATTACATACATAATTAAGTTTAAAAGTTAAATTAAACATGCATTTCAAAAATTAGAAGGATCTTTAATTTAAAAAAAAACTCATAATTTAAATATCAGAAGAAATTTATAAAGAATTGATTTAATTAAGTATTTTAAAAATATTTAAATTAGTTTTATATCTCTATTTTCAAATACATTCATGTAAAACTTGACAATAATAGTTGATTAAGGTATAATGGCCTTTGAAAAGTATATGTACGTCGCCACTTTCACCTTAAATCAAAGAAGCCAAGATGAGTTGTTATAATTGAAAAGATCTCTTTTGCTATAAAAGACAAACTATGATTATTTTTTTGTAAGAACTATAATTAAAATATGCCAATTTGATCAAAATATCTCATATTTATTATTAAAACATATGATACATATAAACAACCTATGCTATAAAGTGATTTATAATTTATAATAGAAACCAAATTAAATTCTGGTTTTTATCACAATAAATTATAATGAAATAGACCCATCTCATCATTTAAAACTCCCTCAAACAGAAAATATTTTTTTTTTCCATCGATCTAACTCCTTGATGATTATGTAGACAAAAATGGTGGAGATGTTTGTGAGTCTGCTTTCTATAATTGCAATGAAAACGTATTTGGCGAAATCCTGAAAGCGGCCGACAATATTAATGTAAGAGACTAGTTTTGAGAATGTAAAAGACATGATGTGTATAGTTTTGAGTTTACTATAAATCATGTAATCATGTATGCATGCTTAATTGGCTGCAGTACTATGACATAAGAAAGAAATGTGATCAAGGACCTATGTGCTATGATTTTTCAAACATGGAGACATTCCTAAACAAGAAAGAAGTGAAAAATGCTTTAGGTGTTGGAGAAATGAAATATATTACATGCAGTGTAACAGTATACGCTGGTATGAAGAATGACTGGATGAGAAGCATGGAAGGAGCTATTCCTGCTCTCCTCGAGGATGGTATTAGAATGCTTGTGTATGCTGGGGATAAGGATCTTATTTGTAATTGGCTTGGTAAGCTTTGCAAAACCTCAAGTGCTTTTAATGTCTTTATAGGTAAAGAAATGCATTGGATCTTAAATTATATGTTTATTAGTATATGGGACCCTAAATTATTTTCTTTTAATTAATGCAATTTTTTCCTTTAACTTTTGAAAAAGATACAATCTGACCCTTATTGTTAATAAAAATTAATTTTGATTGCTTATCAACCAGTAAATAACATAAAAAGATTTCAAAAGATACATAAAATGACTTAAAAATTACATTAAATGATCAAAAAATCACAGAAAAGTATCAAGAAAATTTTATTGGTTGTTCTTTAGTTAATTAACGGTTATAGTTATTTTTTGTTAATAGCAGGTGTCAGATTGTATCATTTTCAAAAGTTAAAAATATTGTACAAAAAATAAGTTTAGCTCCATAGTTGCTTCTGTACTTATAGTTTAAAAAATCAATTTTCTATTTTTTACTTATAGTTTAAAAAATCAATTTTCTCTTTTTTGCTTTCTTCATTGGCAAAATGAAAAAGACAAAAAAAAAAAAAGTCATCTATCTTGTGATTGGCATTGAACAGGAAACGCAAGATGGGTTGAAGCGATGGAGTGGTCAGGTCAGGACGCGTTTTTGAAATCCCCAAACGTGTCCTTCGTGGTTGATGGCAAAGAGGCAGGAAGGTTGCTGAGCCATGAACCACTAAGTTTTCTCAAGGTTTGTGTTGTATAGTTTATCTGCTGCTTTCAATAATATTAATTTGATTTGATTTTGCGAATGAACATGTTCTGAGGTTTGAGATCAATGAACCAAAACAGATCCTTGAGGCTGGACACATGGTTCCTATGGATCAACCCAAGGTTGCACTAGAAATGTTGACGAGGTGGATGCAAGGAAAATTAACCATGACATGAAGAGAGATAATAAATGGCTAGTTAAAGTCGTTTATTCTGCACAAAAAAATATATGTATCACTACACCAGAAATATATATGTATCAAACTTTAGAGGAAATGGTAAAGACTCGTGTTAATTATTTGCATTGCGAATAAGAAGACTCCAATTTGTGTACTGAAGTTTATATTGGTCAATGAACCGATGAAAGCATTAGTTCAAGAGTTAATAGTCAAAATTATAATTAAATCATAATCAAATAAGTTATAAACAAATCATTTTATTAAATCAATCAAGATATTGGTTTAATGATTAACCAATTCAACCAAGCAGGTTGACTTGAATATCCATACCATACTCAGGATGCCCCACATGATTTCCCAGATCTTGATTTAAGCCTGCATTAATGGTGATGATGGGAGGCATTGAAATTTAGAATAAAAATTCGAATGCTTTGTATATTGATATGATGTAGTGATATTGGACAACAAAATTCAGAATCAGAATGAAGTCACACATTCATAAAACTGTAATCAAACTACTTGACGCGGTGTATTTCTTTTTCTAAACTCTCCTCTGTGTGTGTGTAATTTTCGGAGTGAGAAATTTTGGATCAAAATTTGAGAGGAATATCTCAATTCTCAAACCCAAAACACATAGGCTAACGGTGTTCGGCCCAAAACCCTATTGAGCTAACCCCAATCATTAAGTATACCAGATAAAATTTAATCAGGCCCATTTAAAAATTGTTGAGACTCAAAATGTGGGAGAGATGCCTGCAATCTGCATGACAGCAGTACGGACAGTAAAGTACAGAAAGCAAAAACAATACCACTCATTTTAAAAACTGTATAATTATAGAAAAGGTTTATTTTGTTTTTATTACTCCCTTTCATTTTTTTATCTATCATGCAAGTAATGTTTTTGCCGAAAAAGTTATAAAATGAAGGGTTCACAGAGGGACATAAAATAACACGAACACAAAATCGGAACTTGGGAAGGAGAGACATGGGATCCAGTTGGTGAACTGTTCTTGCACTGTAGATGGGCTATCAAGAAATGGGAGAAAATTGATGATATTAGGATTCTTATCCCTTGATGGAACATTCGAGTAAAATTAAGGAATGGGCACGCACACTCACAAAAGTTCGTTGCTTGAAGCGTTAAACAATACTCCCTCCGGTCCTATTTATAAGTCATCTCTACCAACCTCATCAATACCAATACAATAAAAGTACAAGGAATAAAAGTAAGTAAAATTCCAAACATGCCCCTATATAACAAATCTAAAAAGTAATGTCCTGTTGCTTTTTCTCTCTCATGAAGGGTAATTTTGAAAATACCTCTCAAATATTACCTAAAAAGACGCACCGTGACTTATAAATGGAACCAAATATACCTTCTAGAATTGGACTTATAAATGGGACCGGAGGGAGTATATATATTTCTCTATATAATGAAAATATACTTTTGCATAATAAAATATTCCTTATATTAGGATTATTATTAATCTTACTGTTTGACTTTGTCAATCCTGATTATTATGTCATTTTATTTGATTGTTTCCTGTGTCCTCTGGCAACTATCACATCAACTCAGATAAACTCGTTGAAGTGCATCTGACAAAATTAGTTGGACTCATTTTCTGGCTTCACATGTCTTGTAATTACTTGCCCATTTCATTTATAAATTATTTTTATCAATTTCATTAATATTAATATAATAAAATACGAAAAACAAAAAGGCAAACATCTCTTTATTCACTTGAAGTTGAAGGACCTTGATCTTTTAATGTAACTAAAATGAATTTGCTGATAACATAATAGGGTCCTTTCCAGCAATTTTCCCTTTTAAAATAGTACAATTTTGTGCTCACATCTCACTTGATACGGAACCCGTCAATCTCGTCACCGTCTAATTTGATACTTTTAACTCGTTTCACTTTTCAAAGGGGAACAAAACAAAACGTGTTCTCCTATTCTCTCCATGTTTAGCCATTCTATTTAAAAATATAAAATATTTTTAATTAAAATTTATTTTTAATAAAATAATTATTTATTTTTTAACTAACTCTATCTTTTTATATTTATCCCTATTAAACACTTTACAATAAATATAAAGTCATTATACACTTTAAAAAAAAGGCAATGATTACATCTCAAAGATTAAAAAAAATCTTATATTTTTTAACATTCAATTCTTTAAAAAATACTTTATATTTTATAATGGAACGAGTATTAATTAAGATATTAAAAATTATATCAATTATTGAACTGGGCAAGCTACTAATTTAAGAGTCAATGATGATTGGATTGTGCTTGGATTGTTGTGGGACTGGTTAGGATTAATCTGAAATATTTTTTTAATATCTGAAATATCTCATTTACAAAATTAAAATTATAAAATGGACATAAGTAATTTTGGGGGATGACATTAAATGACTTAAAGATTGAATTAAAATTAAGTTAAAATATACCAAATTTCCTTGAACTTTGAGAGCATGAAACAGCCTTCATTTTTCAAAATTTAAAATTAATCTTGATAACCTTTTTTTTTAATCATAGAATCCTCTACGATAATTTCTTAGTTATTTTACTAGCAGAAGTTGTTATGTTATATTAAGAAAACAATATAATAGCTTACACAGCATCTGATATTAACTAATAAACACACAAAAAATGTTGATAGAAATTTTATAAAATTATTATTAACTCATATTAGATGTCATATGAGCATTTACTAGTTTTTTCCCATTTATCAATGTACGCTTCATAAAAACTATTTAAATTATGCATGAATGAACTATGTATTAATTAGATTTTAGTGGATAATAAAATTTTAATATGGAAAGAGAGGGAGAAAGAATATAAATTTTTTTTTTCAACCAAACAAAGTTGCTCCCCTCCTTTCCAAAAACCACTAACCAAGCATACTTTAACCTTTATTTGATTGGAGAGAAGGGAAGAAAAAATTCATTAAAATTTTTTTGTTCTTTATCTTTTGCCAAACAAGGGAGGGGAAGCTTTCCACTCCTTGTTATGGCAAAAGTGGAGGACTCCCCTCCAAAACCTTCCCTCAAACTAGAGGGTTCTTCCCCCTTTCCTTCCTTCTGCCTCCTTCATAGGATGTGTTTGGTTTAAAAGGAGGATGTAATTTTAATAAAAAAAATAAAAGAGTTTGATATTACCTTTTCTATTAATTATATATGTATAATCTTATTTTCATTTTATTTGTATTAAAATATTAAAAAATATATTTATATTTTTTGAATTTATCACGGAGAACATATTAGTTAGAATATGAAAAAATTTACCCCTTTCCTTCCAATCCTCCAATTTGAAGGGGAGGAAATAGGAGGAAAGATTTTAAAAAAAAAAAAATCTCTTCCCTCTCTTTCAATTTTTGAAACCAAATAAGGTTCCTCTCCTTCCCTCAAATCAAAATGCTTTTTCCTTTTTCAAAGTGTCTAACCTTACCAACATCTATAAATTAAGACCAGCGAAAAACTTATTTGCTTCGTTAATTTAAGTTTTTTTTACCACGTTTTCCATAATACTGACAGTAAATTATGGGAAATGCAAATACCCCAATAATTTCAATTAATCGGGAAAACAGTGTATGTACATATATATATATATATATATATGTAAATATAATCAATTAGCCAAAGTATTAGAATATTAATTTAGTATTTCGTATTAATGAACTTTTTGATTTTTCATAGATTAAAAAAAATAAAATAAATTTGACGATTGAGATTAAATTAACAGTTCAGGGGGATCGCGTGTTTCACGGCATAGGAAAGATAAGACAAGACGGAAGGGGAAGAAAAGAACGTCCGGATGCGTACCTATCAACCAGTCCCCACCTCTTTTGTCCAGAAAATAATTGGCTCACATGTGTACAGTATACTCCAATTTAAGTTAATAAATAGTTTCATGAATATACAGACAAACATACGTACGTACGTGTGTATATACATATAAACTTTGCCAAAAATGACTTTTTTTTGGCACAGGAATTTTAAAAGGATAAATTAGCCCAGTAATAATAAAAAATCTTTCGCCCACAAAACATGAATTAAATTTTTAAAAAATTAAAAGTATGGTCAATTCATCATATTAATATACAAAAAATTTATTATTGATATATAAAAATTTATTATTAAAAATATAAAATTTTTAAAGAATTTTTTATTAATATATAACGGTATATTATTAACAAATATAATAAATTGATCACAATATAAAATATAATAAATATTAATTTATTTTTTTAATTTAATTTTATAATTTAAGCTATATTGGCAAAACCTTTATTTTAAAATTGGGTTGGGTTAACTATTAAAGAAAGCAAATATTTTTCCTAACCCGGCCTAGAACTTTTTAAAACATTTGATAATGAAATTTTTGGTCCTCAATTGTGTCTTGGTTATCATTTTGGTTCGTCATGTCTAATTTTTATCACTCAAAGTTTTTAAAATTTTATAGTTGCATGCATTTAGTTATTGGATGGTATTATTTTCTCTCTTCAATTGTAAGGACTAGTTATAACTTATAATTTACTGGTAGAGGATGATTGACCAAAACTGCTCAAAATATTTTTTTTTTATTGTTCAAAAATATCCTTCTATTAGCTAGAAGCATTTTTGTTTGGAGTGAGTGTTCAATGTGGATAATTCTTTAATGGGGACTACAAAGACCTTTTATAGCTGAGAGATTAATCATTTTAGAGGATGAGATGTGTGTGTTTCAATGGATGCAAAAGGTTAAAACAAAATGTGGATAATGTGTATGTAGGGATGTTCAGTGTTGTACCCATCTTAATCGGCCTGTATCCATTTTGATCATATTGAAACGGGTCTATTTTGGCCTAAATAAATTAGGACGAGACTTTATGAAATAAGACTTATTAGGATCATCCTTAGGACATCCTGTCTAATCTTGTCCCCCATTATATATATATATATATATATATTAATTTTACATCTCAATTATGTAATGAAATATGTAGAGATTAAATGGTAAAAGCACTGTAGTAGATAGTTGACAAAGAACTAACTATTTTAACAGTTATTGTTGTTTATGCAGTGAGAGTTTAAACTTCTTCACTACACTTTAAATACTGAAACTCAGAAGGAAAATGTTATCCCCCCTATCAATGTTCTGTTTCCATTTTTGGCTGCAAAACATAGAATAATCTGCTGTGTTAAGTTAGTGATTCTCGTCTGGCTTCTTCTTCTTCTTCTTCTTCTTCTTTTCCTTTTTGTTTTTTTTTTCTTTGGCTACTTTTGACATCTGATTTATATAAGAGAAGCTTTTGTAGAAAATGCTTTATTATAGGTTAAACGATTTTCTTTCTGGCTAATGCGACTCTCTAAAATACATATTATAAACTCCTAAAATATGATCTAATTGCCAAAAAAATGTGATGCGTGCACACTAAGTTATAATTATATTTTTTAAATTTTAATCAAAATGTTTTGTTTATTACTTTTATGGTATGTTAAATACATTATATATACATACAAATACTTGTATAAATGTCTCTGTGTATGATGAAACATATAACATGCACAAATCATATTTGTACATATGTATATTTTAATATTGTGTTTGACTTGTTTATTGTTGTTGCACTTATAGCTTGAAAATCACTCCTAAACTTATAGTTATTGCTGCCTATAATGATGTGTTATTCATTACAGTTTTATGTATACTTGAGTTTAGATAGTATATTTATAATTATGATTAATGTAACTTTATAATTGACTTTAAATAGTGAGTTATATATTTGTATTTTTTGATTTTAGACTTAAAAAGTTATTTGCTTTAATATTTGAATGAATGTTGTTTTCAAGACCTCCATCCTATGTCCATTTCACTAGAACATCTCAATCCCGTCTTAATTTTTGATAAAATAAAATAACTTTTAAAACGGGAGAAGACATGAGATTAAATTTCAGTTCCCGATATGCTTTGGATAAGACACGGATGGGGTGTTCTGCTTTGGTTCTATTCTGTGAACACCTCTTGTACATAGATGCCAAAAAAAAAAAAAAAGAAATCATTTAATAATTGGAAGCGGATGCCACCACAATTCAAAAAGAAAAATCATGCCAACAAACTTTTCCTCGAGCGATTCAGTTGTTATGAATAAAAAAATAATATTTCTACCAGACTGTGATAGAGCATTCATCAATAATTTGTGACAAATCTCGCATATGAGACGCTCGCAGAAACATGATTTATAAAAATATGCTAGTTAATAGATTTCCTTTATAATGCAAGTTAGGATTTATAAAAAAATTATATTTCAACTCAAAATTTAAAAACTCAAGTTTAGAGATCCTCATTTTTTATTATATATATATATATATATTTATTATTAAATTTAATTTTATTTGATATAGAACTTTTTACATCAACATAAGTTTATTCATAATTGAACAACTTGATAGTCCTACAGAAAACAAACTTTACAAGTAAAATAAGATTTACAAATTTAAGAAACTATTTTCTAATAGATTGGTGAGATAAGTTTACCCTTTGTATTCTAGAGATATTAGCTCTTGAATGTAAATGTATAAAGCTAGTAATTCATATTAAATTTGACAGGTTAGTCCAAATTTGTTTGAAAAAATTTAAGATTAGACTTAAAAAATTATTTTTTTATATTTGGACTCGAATAAACTTAAAAAAATTTGAGCCAAATACCAAATACAAAATATATAAAAAATATATTAAATATTAATTATTTTTTAACTTTTAGATCATTTTATAATAAAATAATATATAATTGAGTCCTATATATCATTTGAGTATCAAAAAAATATTTTTATAAAATAAATTAAGTAATTTTAAAGTACAAAATTAATAAAAAATAATTTTAAAAATAAAATTTAGATACTTGAACTGCTTGAAGTTTGAAAAAATTCAAGTTAAACTTAACTATTCAAACTTTTTAAAGAGCTAGGCATGTTTGGATTTGGAGTTTGTCCGGATTTTTAGCTTTAGAAATGCATTGTGATATATATATACTCCTTTAATTTAAAAATATAATATATTTTTTAAAGAGTTGAATGTTAAAAAATATAAAATATTTTTAATTTTTTGAGGTGTAATTATTATTTTTTTAAAAGTAATTCTATTAATAATAAATTTATGTTAATTATAAAGTGTTTAATACAGGTAAATATAAAAAAATAAAATTAATTTAAAAATAAATAAATATTTTATTAAAAGGTGAGATTTAATTAAAAATATTTTATATTTTTTTTAACAAAAAAAAATTATATGATTTTCACGATAACAACGAGTCTTGCAAAGAAACTATTTTTTAAGATCAAGGCACTCCCTTTTTACTTGACTAAATTTTTGAGATTGGGCTCTTTCTTTAGATTTAAACATGTGACGATAATATTATTTAATATTAAGGAATTATGCTTTTCATCCTGTCTCGTTCATCTCATCCAGTCTGTCTTCATGATGTGACCACACTGTCGCTGCTTTACATGCTATCTTGTTCATCTCATCCAGACTGAAAAGTTTGCTTTTCAGCTCAACTGAGATAAAGCTGAATAAATAAATGAGTCACGAGTCACGAGTTTGAAATTTAAAATACAGTAATTAAACAGTCTTTATAAATGAGTGAATTTGTACGTATAACTCACTTTTTATTTAGTTACTAATTTCTCTGTTCTTGTATAAATTATACACGGTAAGAGTTTACTTGTTAAATATAAACCCTCTCAAAAGACTTTTTGCAGCTGAGGCGTATCCATTAATTTAGGGGCAAACGATATTCGATGACCCTTTAATAACAATATTCATAATTAAATACTAAAAATTTTGGAAATTTTAAAAAAGATCAAGATTCCCCGGTTGGAACTACAAAATCTTCGAATTCGTTTTTCTCCACTCCTATATGATATTTTCAGTACTGAAAAAATGGTAATTGCTGAAAAAATGACTATTGAAATCACTTAAAAAGTAACTTGACAAAAAGTTAGTTATTACATGTTAGATGTTTGACATGTAATATAATGAACTTAATAAGTAATAAAAGAAAATTAATAATTAATATTATGTGTCAAATAAATCAAATAATATTTAATGAGTAACTTAAGTAATATATTTATTAATATTACTTGTTAATTACCTGTGGTTACTTGTCAAGTTATGATTGATTTGTTAAAAATGTAATATATTACTTGAGAATCTTCTATCATGACCTTGTCAAATTTATTATGTGTTTTGTCCAATTTAACTGAAGAAAGATATTTTAATTACTTTTATTTTCAATTTAATTTCAAACATGAAATAATTTTAGATTTGATTTGTAAACAAGTCACGTTATGGTCCTTTGACAAAATTCTACCTTCTTAATGTATAAATTGTCACCGTATGGGGAAGGTGGCATCTCATCTCTATCTCTTACCTTCCACGTGACTCAAATCCTAAAAAAACAATTTTTTTTTCCTTTTTTGACTAACTAAGAAACAAATTGAACCACGTCACGTACACTTCGCTCGCTCTTCATGAGCTCTATAAGAAGATGCTTCTACTTCCCAATTCCTCACAACCCAAACCATACCTAAAGTCTCGCATACAGCGCCTGACAGCCAAGCCCAGCAAACAATGAAGCCTGATGCTCGGCTTGCATTATCCTTCTCCTTCTTCTTCGTCGCTCTCTTTGCCTTCACCAGAGCTGAATATATATATGACTCAGACGGTGACATCGTTAACAATGGAGGCAATTACTACTTATTGCCACCATCTGGTCATTCAGGTCTAGCAACTGCTACCATTAACAGGGGTCACACTCTATCGTGCTTGCTCGCCGTCGCTTTAGGATTTGATCAAGGCTACGCGGCAAAAATTGCAACACCATATCCTCTGAAGTTCATCACTAACGACTATCCTTTAAACATATCGTTTGCTGATTTGCCGTCAAACGCGTGCACTGACTCACCCAGTTGGACCGTCGCCGATATCTATGGCAATGATGAAGATTCAGTGATGGTTGGGAATCCTCAAGAATTTTTTATTCCACGTTCTGGCAATTTCTACATCAAGAAATATGATTCTGAGTCTTACAAGCTTGCCTTCTGTTATTCCACATCTTCGTGTGGATATGTTACTACGAGGATTGATGGCCTTCTTCGAACCATCCGTTTGATTGTCACACAGGACAGAAGCGTACAACCATTCGTATTCAAGCTTGTCAAAGCAACTAGTAACGACGTCGCTTCTGGCATTTCAATGGTCGTGTGAATCCGCATCCATAATAAACACCTCTAGGCTTCCTAGCTATCTTTCTCCAGAGTGTGCAAAAATAATTTAGTTTGTGAGATTCCCAGCTTTGTTGTACCGTGAGAATAAAAGTTGAGTGGGTTCAACTCAAGTAGATCTACTTGTTCTTTACTTTCTTTATCTGCTTGTTGCTTGTTAATCGTTACTTTATGTTAATTGATTACAAATTTAGTAGCTCCTGTCAATTTCAACGTGTTTTTCTTTCTCTAAGTGTTTAATCTTACCTATAAATGCCATAAATACCAGCCAAAAGCTTATCTCCCAATTCAATTTTGCAATTTTTATTTGACACATGTTCCTTAATATTTACTGTAGATTATGGGAAATGCAAAAATAGCCCCATTCATTTCAAATAATTGGGAAGACAGTATATGAAATGCAAACTGCATTATAGATGGCTATCTTGGAGATCTTTATGAGGTGATTTTTTTAAAATAAAAAATATATGCTAAGTTGGCCAATATGACTGTTTTACATGCTAAACTTAGCTACCTTGTTGAACTAGTCTTAAAGTTTGCTCATAATTAAGTTCAAGTGGGATTGAGCTACAATATGCGTCGAGTCTCACTCGTGTGTAATTTAGAATGTACAATAAATACTGATATAAATGATAGAAAGAGTATATATAACTCATTTGTCTATTTCGACGCTATTTCTCTTTTCCTGTCTAAATTACACACAATAAGTTTACTTGTTAAATACATATGACATTGACCTAAACTTATCAAAAGATTTTTCACATTAGTCCATCAATCCAGGGGATCAGATGTGTGTGTTTCAAAGAATGTGAAAGATAAAAACAAAACGAAATAGAACAAAACGTACATAAGTGTATATTTCAAATTGGTCCCTCTGTGTATGGGTCCTATTTGCTCTTTTTCTCAATCCTCACTACTAGTTTTGCTGTCCCCACACGTCCCCCCCCTCCCAAAAAAAAAATCAACAATTGTACATACTTTCATTTTTGAATAAAAGGTTACGAGTAAATCATGCTATCCAACATGAAGAGTCATGTTATCATACAAAAAATTCCTACAAACTAAGGGCATTAAATTCAAAATAAGTACATCAAAATTATCAATAAAAACTTGATGGGTCAATTAGTCTACACATTTGATTGCACCTCCTTTTTGAAACATAAAAAAACATGGCAAGAAATTAATGAGTTAAAAAAAAAACACTTCAACTCAAGCAACTGTACTGTTATCAATGGAAAGAAAACAAAAGTTCTACTAGATTGACAATATAAAAGCATCCATAATCGAATATTAGGGTATCGTATCTATTATACATATAATTTAATTGAGAGAAAATAAACTAAATCTTAATTATTAAGTTGCACTAAATCTTAATTAAGAGAAAATAACCAAAAATATTCCTTAAAATATGTTAATGATAATAAAGTCCTACAAAACTCTCTTGAGACCTTTATGACATTAATATTTTTTATGAAATGATTATAATGGCCCTAATTTAAAATATTAATGACTACTTTAATTTAAATAATAATTATATTTCTTTTGACAATAAATAAAATAGGTTACCAAATGATAAATTCTGCTTTTTCTAGTTATTGATCAATTGATTTTTTATTTAAAATGATGATAATATAGTTGTTTTACAAAAGACATTAATGTCCAAAGGGTCCTGCAAAACTTGAGAAAAATTATCACATTTTTAACACCTTATTGTTATTTGCATTTTTTTTGGAGGCTTGTTTTATAAGTTTCCCAATAATTTTTGCGACACACACCCTCCTTAGGTCCCTATCACGGCTAAGATGAAGTGTGTTCGCATTCTATTGGACATTGGAAGATTTCAACCTTATTTACATTTGTCACTATGTGGGGTATGCAACATCCTTATCCTTCTCACCTTTTACTCGTGACTAAATCCCTAAAGTTCCGTTTGATTACTGAAAAAAAAAAGAATAAAATGAATTAAAAAATAAATTAAATATAAAAAGTAAAATGATTAAAGTGCGCCAATGAGATGAATCAATATAACCATGTTCGTGAGATGCTTCTCATTAACTCATCATGGTAATTGCCTCTATAAATTGATGCTTCTCTTCTTCATCTACCCACAACCAAAGCCAAACAATATCCTTTGTATCCTTATGCTTGCATTCAAATTATAAATTTTGATGCTCGAGTCCAACGCAATTTAATTAATTTTAAAATAATTAAAAAAATTATTTATAAAACCTTAACTATTAAGTTAAGATCGAGTCTAAGCTATTATCTCCATGCTCCATCCATGATCATGATGAAGGAAGTGCTTCCTAAATTTAAATGAAGTGGTAATCATAGGGTTTGGGTATCAAGTTAGGATCATCTATAAATAGAGGAGCCATCTCTCAATAAGAATCATCATCAGTATTAACAAACTACTAGTCAAATTCTTAGACTCTGCATCTATTACTTTATTTTATTTTTTATTTTATCATATAGTTTTAATCTTTATTTTTCTATTGTACGTATGGTATAGTCCACTACCTTTCTTTAATTAACGTATCTCTGCTTCCCTGTATTTACATTAATTCTTCACTTTGTATTTTTACATCCAAGTAAACTATGGTAAGGGAGCTTAGTTCCTTGCGTCTAATTAAAAGTCAGGTTCTTCTATTCTTTTTGGACTCCATCTCTCTAGCATGTCTCACGACACCCTTTTTTGTTTTTAACAAACAATTTCTTCATAGATTGTTTGTCAGGAACAACAAATTACTTGGCATGCCAAAGACGTTGGATCTCAATTGATAGAAAAGGGTCATTAAACTCCCTTATCATAATTTACCTGGATGCAAAAGATATGCAAGAGTGAAAGAACAAATGTTTGATTAATATTAAAGATTACAAGATTGGAAATGAAAATAAAAACTACACATGAAAGCTATCTGATAAATTTATAGAATCAATAAAATTAATATAGTTCTTAATGAGTGACACACAGGCACAATCAATAAAATTAAGAAAAAAATATTTTATAGAATACTTTTAATTATAGTTTTAATTTTCTCAATATAGTTCTTAAATGTTTACATCAAATTTTATATATAAATTGTTCACATCAAATTTTAACAGGTTAAATTTATTTGTTTGTTTAATTTTATAATATTTATTTACTATTATGATAATAATTTTGTGGTTTAAAAAAAGGAAAAAAAAAAGTGAAACGACACAGTTTAGGTGACCGAAACCGAACCCCACGTTCATCGAATGAGTGACTTTACCATATTTATTGTAAAAGTTTCGTCGCGCCATCACCGCTCATAATTGATGTTGCGATCAATAATTTTTTATTTTTCCAGATCATAAAAGGTAACATGATTGTTAGCTATCTTTATGATGTGATTGCGACCACACTATCGCTGTTTTACACGCCAACCTGTTCATGTCATCATCTCTAGTCTTGCTTACCGGCCCAAGTGAGATTATTCATTGTTAACCTGCATTTTATAAAAAAAAATAAAAATAAAAAAGATTATTAACCTGCATAAATAAATGTGTTAAGTCGTGGGTAATTTAAAACATAATAAACAGTGATCGATTATAAATGAGTGAAATTGTGCGCATAACTAATTTTTTTATTTAGTTCCTAATTTCTCTATTCTTATTAAATTATGCACTGTAAAAGTTTATTTGTTAATTAAATATAAGATAAAAGTGTAAAAATACTCGCAAAGTAATCAATCAGGAGCACCTATTATCTTAAAGTGAAAAAAATAGCAAAGATACTCATAACGTTATATGAGTAATTGCAAAAGTAATTAAATCATTAATTTTAACCTGACGCCATTAACTTTGACTATTAAATATTGATTGTGCATGTCACGTATCAATCTTTGCTGACATGACTAATAAAGGAATAAAAATACTCACAAAATCATTGACCAGGATCAAAAATACTCATAACATTATTAGAGTTGGTGCAAAAATGACTAATCCATTAAATCTCTTAAATGTTAACCGTTTAGCTGGCATCTAAGTAAAAATTGACTATTTTTTACAGATATAAATAAAAAATACTCTCAGATAAAATTTTTCAAAGGTTAATCGATCATTATATAAATATCATGTCAGAAAATATCATTTTAACCACACATCAAATTAAATCACTTTTTTCTTGGCAATAGTGGCAAACACCATTTGAAAATTTTGAATCTATCATAAATAAAATTGCTTAAAGTTGTAACAATGTTCTTAAGGTAAGGCGGCGTAGGAGATGTGCTCAATCTCGATCTTCGATTGTGTACAACCTATTTCACTATATTAAATCTCATGTTTTGCAAACAAGAAAAATGAGTGAAGATAGAGGAAGGGAGTGGGCGAGATATGTAGCAATGAAAAAAAATCATATGGCATGGAATTTGACAAATTGATTACTATTATACCTACTAAAATAACATTATGAGTACTTATACGATGATTAGTCAACATTTATAAAAATTAATATGAAAATATTTTTTGTCTATATTAGTAAAAAAATAGTCAATTTCTACTTAGATATAAGTTAAACAGTCAATATTTAAAAGATTTGATGGATTGATCACTTTTGTGCTAATTTTGATAAAGTTATGGATATTTTTGCTCTTAGCCAATGACTTTGTGAGTATTTTGCCTCCTTTATTAGTCCACATCAGCAAATATTAACACTTGATATGCACAGCCAGTATTTAACGATCAAATTTAAAGGCGTTTGGTTAAAGTTAACGGTTTGATCACTTTTGTATTAATTTATATAACGTTATGAATATTTTTACCTTTTTTCTTACTTTTAAATTACTGAGTATCCCTAGTTGATTATTTTATGAGTATTTTTATTCTTTTACCCTTAAATATATGCCTTCTCAAATTTGCTGCTGAGGCGTATCCATTAATTTAGAGGCAAATGATGTTTAATAACCCTTTAATAACATTATTTATAATTCAATACTAAAAATTTTGCAAATTTTTAAAAAGCTCGTTTATAGCAAAAATAAAAAAGCATATTTATTTCTATTTTTATTTTAAAATTATGGAACAAATAATATGCAAGTAACCATACAAAAAAAAATTATTTGTTACAATTAAATTATGGTTGGCATGCTGGTGCGTAGTTTAGCGTGATGTCAAACTCGGCGGCCCTCCAAACTGTCTCTTCATATTTACTTTCTCTTCTCCTATCAAAACTTTTAATTTTTCCTTTGGGTCCCTTCGCTCTCTTTTAAATTCATTTTCATTATTCGGTCAACAGATAAACGATCCACGTCTTAAACTAATAACCTCGGAAACTGTTTGACGTGGCTATATCCTTGGAATGTTTCCAATTGGCTGCCGTGCAAGTCATGGTCACAGGTAGAATTAAAAATAAAAGCTAGACTTAATGACCTTATTTAAATAAAGATCATGTTTTAAAAATAAATTTTTTAAAAAGTAATCGGGTTTAAGGGCCTGACTTTAATAAATCCTGTAAAAAAGAGTTCGAGTTTGGGTAGTCATTTAAGTCCGGTTATATTATTATTAATTTTTTTCTTTGCTGGAATACACGTTTAAAGCCAAGGACTTACTCACCTGAAACCTTGATTCTAGACGCATTATATTATTATTAATTTTAATTTATTCTAAAATTGATTTAATATAATTTCATAAATATTAGTATACAGTATAAATTTTTTGATATGTTTTATTTTTCTATAATTATTATGTTTGTGTATTTATAAAAAATAAATTGTTTTTTTAACCAAGATTTGAATTTATTACTAGACTTCTAAATATATATTATTTAATTTTTAAAAGATAATGAGACTTTTTTTAATTTTAGAATATTTTAATTAATTTGTAGTGATTATTTTTATTTTAATTATTTTAAAATTTTTTTTAAACAGGGCTTGCGGGCCAAGCTCTGAGCTTTTTAAATAAAGGTTGAGTTTAAAAAATGAGATGAAAAATGAAAAATTAGACTTAAAGGCTCAAGTCCTTATGAGCTCGATTCATAAGGGCCAGACTCATAAGGGCCAAGCTCGCATGTTTCCCAACTTTAGCCCCAAGCCCTTTAAATAAGGGCCAATAATCAACAAAGAGATAAAACATGAAAAAATTGGGCTTAAGGGCTCTGGCTCACAAGGGTCTAAGCCCGCCCATTTTCTAGCTCTAAATTCACCTAAGATAATTATCACTAAATTAACTTCTTAAAACATTATCCAAATTTTAAGGATACTATGAAAGAATTTTCTTTTTTTAAGGATTCACAATGATGAAATAAATCCTTCCATCCACTTTCACTCTTGCCATCATATAAGCGCATGGTGTATGACTTGCATGATACAGTGTTTCTCTTTTAAGAGAGTATGTTGATTTTAATTTATCAATATATTGTTCAAGCTTAAGTCTCAATTACACACAATGCCTGAACCAAAATTCCACAAGTCACTCATGACGCACATCTTCATTTATTTATTCCATGTTAGATGTTCAACAAGTAACATAATGAACTTGACAAGCAACAATAGCGGATTAACAACTAACATTATGCATCCAACGTGTCAAACATTACTTAACAAGTAAATTAAGTAATATGTATATTTATTATATATTAGATTGATGTTGAACAAGTAACATGATGGACTTAAAAAGTAACGATAAGAAATTAATTAGTAATATTAATCATTGAACACCTAACATGTAATTAATCATTTATTGTCAAGTATCTTTTTAAAGTAATGTAATTGACTTGTCAGATGTGTAGTATTATTTATTAATCCTTTTTCTTTACTTGTTGAATCTATTGTGTGTCTTATTCAATTTAACGGAAGAAGGATATTTTGATCATTTTACTTTTCAATTTAATTTCAATTCAAGCCTAAAATCTTGCAGTGGTATTCTAGATTGTTTTGGATATGATTTGTAAATAATTCTCATTGGTGGTCCTTTGAACAAATTCTCCCTTCTTAATATATAAATTGTCACTGTATGGGGAAGGTGGCATCTCATCTGTGTTATAATTGAATCATGTCATTTACATTTCGATCGCTCACTCTTGATTAGCTCTATAAGTAGACGCTTCTACTTCCCAATTCCTCACAACCCAAAACCAAGCCTAACGTCTCCCATACAGCGCCTAACAGCCAAGCCCAGCAAACAATGAAGCCTCATGCTCGGCTTGCATTATTCTTCTCCTTCTCCTTCGTCGCTCTCTTTGCCTTCACCAGAGCTGAGTATATATATGACTCAGACGGTGACATCGTTAACAACGGAGGCAATTACTACTTATCGCCGCCATCTGGTTATGGAGGTGTAGCAACTGCTACCATTAACAGGGGTCACATCCTTTCGTGCTTGCTGGCCGTCTCTGCAACATTAAATCAAGGCTACGCAGCAAAAATTGCAACACCATATCCTTTGAAGTACATCACTAACGACTATCCTTTAAACATATCGTTTGCTGATTTGCCGTCAAACGCGTGCACTCACTCACCCAGTTGGACGGTCGCCGATATCTATGGCAATGACGTAGATTCAGTGATGGTTGGGAATCCTCAAGAATTTTTTATTCCACGTTCTGGCAATTTCTACATCAAGAAACATGACTCTGAGTCTTATAAGTTTGCGTTCTGTTATTCCACATCTTCGTGTGGATATGTTACTTCGTGGATTGATGCCCTTCTCCGAACCGCTCGTTTGTTTGTCACACAGGACAGGAGCGTACAGCCATTCGTTTTCAAGCTTGTCAAAGCAACTAGTAACGACGTTGCTTCCGGCATTTCAATGGTCGTGTGAATCCGTATCCATAGCAAACACCTCTGGGCTTCCTAGTTATCTTTCTCCAGAGTGTGTGAAAATAATTTAGTTTGTGAGATTCCCATCTTTGTTGTACCACGAGAATAAAAGTTGAGTGGGTTCAACTCAAGTAGATCTACTTGTTCTTTACTTTCGTTATCTGCTTGTTGCTTGTTAATCGTTACTTTATGTTAATTGATTACAAATTTAGTAGCTCCTTTCAATTTCAACATGTTTTTCTTTCTCTAAGTGTTTAATCTTACCTATAAATGCCACAAATACCAGCGAAAAACTTATCTCCCAGTTCCATTGTACAATTTTTATTTGATATATATGTTCCTTAATATCTACTGTAGATTATGGAAAATGCCAAAATAACCCCATTAATTTCAAATAAGTGGGAAGACAGTTTTACATGCTAAACTTAGCTACCTTGTTGAACTAGTCTTAAAGTTTGCTCATAATTAAGTTTAAGTGGGATTGAGTTACAATATGCGTCGAGTCTCAGTCGTGTGTAATTTAGAATATATAATAAATATTGATATAAATGATTGAAAGAGTATATATAACTCGTATGTCTATTTCGACGCTATTTTCTCTTTTCCTATCTGAATTATACACACAATAAGTTTACTTGTTAAATACAGATGATATTGACCTAAACTTACCAAAAGATTTTTTTTTTGTTTTTTTTACATCAATCCATCAATCCAGAGGATCAAATATGTGTGTTCCAAAGAATGTGAAAGATAAAAACAAAACGAAAAAAACAAAACGCACATAACGTGTATATTTCAAATTGGTCCCTCTGTGGATGGGAGAGGGGTCTCTTCCTTTCTTCTCTCTCCTATCTCCTCTTGTTCTCAATTCTCACCGCCAGTTTTGCTGTCTCCACATGTCCCACCCCGAAAAAAGGTGTTAAAAAAAAAAATCAACAATTGCACCTCCTTTTTGAAACAGAAAAAAACACGGCAAGAAATTAATGAGTTTTGACAGGAAACACTTCAACTCAAGCAACTGTATTGTTACCAAGGGAAACAAGACAACAGTTCTGCTAGATTCACAGTATAAAAGCATCCATAAACGAATATTAGGGAATCACGTCTATTATACATATGATTTAATTAAGAGAAAATAACAAAAAAATTCCTTAAAATATGTAAATGATAATAAAGTTCCATAAAGCGTGATAATTTTTTTCAAGTCTCTTAAGACCTTTATGACATTAATGTCTTTTATAAAATGATTATAATGGCCCCAATTTCAAATAGCAATGACTACTTTAATTTAAATAATAATTATTTTTTGGAAATTATTAAAATAGGTTAGCAAATGATAAGTGTCGCTCCTTTTAATTATTAATCAATTTATTTTTTAATTTAAATTGAGGGTAATATAGCCATTTTACAAAATAAATTAATGTCGAAAAAATCCTCCAAAACTGGTGAAAAATTATCAATTTTTTGACACCTTATTGTTATTTGCATATTTCTGGAGGCTTGTTTTATAATTTTCCCAATAATGTTTATACAATATAGAGAGGGGGAATAATAGTACCATCTTTTGGGACGCACACCCTCCTTGGGTCCCCATCATGATCGAGATGAAGTGTGTTCGCATTCTATTGGTCATTGGAAGATTTCAACGTTATTGCATTTGTCACTATGTGGGGTTTGTAACGTCCTTATCCTTCTCACCTTTTACTCGTGACTATATCCCTAGAGATCCGTTTGATTACTGAAAAAAAAGAATAAAATGAATTAAAAAATAAATTAAAGATAACAAGTAAAACGATTGAAGTGTGCAAAGGAGATGAATCAATATAACCATGTTCACAAGAAAAAAATATAATTTCATTCATAAGATTAAACACCATAATTTATGAGTTGGGTGATTTTCATATGATACCTTAATTTATTTTTATTTTCATTTCTTTAATTCATTCCATTATTATGAACCATCTTATCCAACAGCCAAATGGTCCTAATAAAATCTCTCATTAACTGATCATGGTAATTGCCTCTATAAATTGATGCTTCTCTTCTTCATCTATCCCAACCAAAACCAAACAATATCCTTCACATCCTTGTTTTTAAAATGGATTAAAAAAAGAAAAATCCCTTATTAACAAATATTTATAACAGTATAATAGTTACGTACTATTGTGACGCAGACTTTTCCTTCACCCTTTCTTTTTCTATCGCAATACTAATTCCAAACCAAACATGACGTCTTTAGATATGAGCATCTAAAAGTTGTGGAAAATGGATAGGAGCTCTGGTGAAAACCGGGTTGAACTGAGAATGACACTGAAGGGCCCATCAAGGAAATTAATACCAGTCGAGGGCCCCAATTTGATTGGAACGACAAGAATGGACTTGGGTTTGTTCAAAAACAATAGAAACATTTAGTGAGAGAATGAAAATGCCTTTGCCTAAAAGGCTAAAATGAGCTTGAATTTAGACAGGCTTTGATCTAATGCTTATATATTTGTTCATTTAAAGACAAAATGGCAAATAGTATTTGACCATTATTTAAGAGACAATTTCAGTTATGGCCTTAGAAGCAAGATATATGCATTAAAGGCTCAAAGGAACTTGAAATTCTTCTATAAGCCCAAAGACTTTCATGTTATTGTTGTTGTTGTTGTTATTATTATTATTATTGTTTTTTTTTTTTTGAAATGAAGCAAATGGCCCTGCCTTTTTTTTTTTCTTTTTTTTGGTTTAAATATCACAATCACTGGTCGCCGAAGCTATTATATTGTGCCAACTGCAATAGCTCTAGCACCGACGCAGGTAGTCAAATCCCGTCAAAGGGGCGAAGGGAAGATGTGAATCGTTGATCTCTAGGTGTTGTAAAAGATAGTTTACCGTTGGATCTAATTATATATTACAATATCAATATATATATATGTGTGTGTATTATAAATTTGTTTTGAAGCACTTATATGAGCAACTTTTGTTCTCTCTCTCTCTCTCTCTCTCTCTCTCTCACACACGTATTATAAATTTACACACACACACACACGTATTATAAATTTGTTTTGAACCACTTATATGAGCAACTTTTGTTCTCTCTCTCTCTCTCTCTCACACACACACACACACGTATTATAAATTTACACACACGCGCGCGCATTATAAATTTGTTTTGAACCACTTATATGAGCAACTTTTATTCTCTCTCTCTCTCAATCATTTATAAATATTTAAACATGAACTATTCATACATAAAAAAATTATCAATTTTTTAAATTCAATTTGTTCAATATTTTTAACAACTTCTTCTTTCAATATTAATAGGTTATAAATATTAGGCTACATAAAAAATATTTAAATTATAAATTTATTTTTCAAGCATTTGTATGAGTTTTGGTTAATTATAGATATGTTATTGTTTATATCCAAATTATCACATATAAATATTTAAACATGACTTGTTCATATAAAAAAAAAGTTATCAATTTTTCAAACCTAAGTTGTTTTGTATTCTTAACAACTTATTCATTCAATATTGATATATTATTAATATTATACTAAATAATATATATATATATATATATATTATAATTTTTTTATGCATTTTTAAAGGTTTTGATTAATCATATACATATTTGAACAATCACTTGTAATTAACCTCATTCATTTCAAATGATTGGGAAAACAGTATATGAAATGCAAACTAATATACACAGCTATCATGTTGGTGATCATGAGGTGATTTTTTTTAAAATAAATATAATGGTAACATGGCCACGCACGATATGGCTGTTTTACCTGCTAAACTTAGCCACCTTGTTTGTTGAACTAGTCTTAAAGTTTGCTCGTTAAAAGTTCAAGTGGGAATGAAGTACCATAATGCGTCAAGTCACTCGTCGTGTGTAATTTAGAATATAATAAATACTGATATATAAATGCTTGAAAGAGTGTACATGACTCATTTGCTTCTTTCGACGCTATTTTCTCTATTCCTATCTAAATTACACACAATAAGTTTCCTTGTTAATTGTTAAATACAGATGATACTTACCTGAACTTTTCGAAAGAATTTTTTACAGGTAAGTCATATCCATTAATTCAGAGGATCAGATATGTGTGTTTCAAAGAATATGAAAGATAAAAACGAAACGAAACTAAACAAAACGTACGTAGCATGTGTGTACATTTCAAATTCGTCCCCCTGTATATTATATACGAACTTCGCGGTCCCCACATGTCCTTTTCCTTCAATAGCTGTAGTGTTGGATTGTCATCATTAGTGCAACCATATTTGTACAAGAGTTCAATAATTCAACCTCCTTTTGCAAAAAGAAAAAAACATGGCAAGAAATTAATGAGTTTTAACAGGGAACACTTCAACTCAGGCAACTGTACTGTCATCACTGATTGAAAGAAAATAATAGTTCTACAATATATCAAAGCATCCATAAAAAAATATTAGGGTATCATACTATCATACACACACATATATTATATATATATATATATATATGGAGAGAGATAGGTGGGACCAACACCCTCCTTGGTCCCCATCATGAGATGAAGTGTGTTGGCATTCTATAGGACCATTAGAATTTAATAAAATCAAATACTATTGTATTAAAAATTAAATTACAAAATAAAAATAGAAAATCACATTAAACAAACAAATATTATTACTGTAAGTGGTGAAAAGATTTTTTTACTTACATAGATGATAATTTATTCATCTTTTTAAAAATATAAAAAGAAAAATATATATCATTTGATCGATATAGTTTATTTAGTTTACTAATTTTCAGACCAAATTAAATTGATTAATCAAAATTTTTATTAAAATAAAACAAAATTGAACTATATAATTGAATAGATCAAATTAAATAGATCAAATTCGATTCGATTTTTAATTTTAGTTTGGTTTTGATCACCTCTAACTATGAGTCACTCTTGAAATTTCAATTGTTGTGTGAATCCATATCCATAATAGGCACCTCAGCGCTTCCCATCCCAGTTATCTCCAAAGTGTGTGAAAATAATAGTGTGTGCTTGCGTGTTTTTTTTTGTTTTGTTTTGGGTGACATTCTCAGCTTTGTTGTACCATGAGAATAATATTTGATTGGGTTCAACTCAAGTTGATCTACTTGTTCTTTACTTTCTTTATCTGCTTGTTACTTGTTACTTTACATTAATTGATCGACCAAAACCACTCAAGATTTTTTTTTATTGTTTAGA